GGGGGCCATACAAATGACTGAATACCATTTTGAGTTGCTGCAATGAAATTTCAGCAAAGTGGACTAGCCTGCCGCATCATTTTTTCACTGTAATTTTTGGGGTGTCTTTGAATTCAGCCCTCTGTAGGTTGATAATTTTCATTTCCATCAAATGATGTTGCATCCTTTTGTTCCAAACACATCACCCAGTCCATTTCAGTATAAATAAACAGCATGATTTTTTTGCCCATTGAGATCTGATGTGTTTTCAAAGTGTTCCTTTAATTTTTTTGAGCAGTGTAGATTCATGAAAAGACTGAGTATCTTTTACATTCAGTTTGCGACGATGAGCGAGAAGAGCCACTCGCTGTCGCCATGTAGTTTTTAAAAGTAATCGCTTGAACAAATGTGTTCATGGGCAATTTAAATTTTATTTCTTATTTAATGGAAAAACCACAACTGTGAAAATTAGAATTTGTCATGAAAATGCAGCTAGTGATGCTTTCTGGTAAATTAACTTCAGCAGCTTTTAGTAAACCTGTATCATTTTTAAATGTGTACTCCCTGCATGAATTATAATAAAGCAATTTATATGCATAACTCAAGCGGAACACTATGGCGATAGCTGTACTGCTTCACTTTTGAAAGTAAAATCTGTTGGGCTCTTTTTGGTATCAAGACAAGAATTCTTATTGCCAAACAGGACACTGTTAAAAAATACAAAATGTGTATTCCTTATGTAATGTCTAAACTGCACAGTTTAAAACCTGCTGTCATCTCCACTCTACTCAAGCTTCCTTTGTTCCCCAGGATCCGAATCGTACATTACATTTTGGAAAACACCTTCATCAAGACAGGAGGTGAGTGGGTTTAAAAATATATTCATGGATGAAAAGATGGAGATAAAGAGGATTCTGTGTTTAAGGAATTGATACAGTTTTTTTTGTTTTTGTTTTTTTGTGAACCAGCAAACTGGAAATCATCTCATTAGTGCGTTTCTTTTTCAGAGAAGCTGGATGACCTGATGATGGAGGATGTGTTTGAAACTATGTTCTGTCTTCATGAGGTGAGCAAACCTCCAGCTAACTGCTGATCTTTCCTCAGGCTGAGTAGTTTATTGATGCCGAGGCAGCTGGGAATGCTTTTATCAAGCTTTCCTGTGGCGTCTCCCCAACTGCTATTAGGGCCAGGCTAGAAATTTTCTTACTTTTCTTTCGAGAATAAAGTCGTAACATTACGAGAATACATGCATAATATTATGAGAACGATGGCCGACCAGCTCTACCAATTTGATGCTGCTGCTTAAAGATTTCCTTATTTGTCAAACCAGAGCCAAAGTTTAATTTCACATTATGCTCCACATTGCTAATTTTAGGGAAGGAAGTGCTTCTTGTAAGAGTTTTCATAAAATACAACTTGCTTCTCGTAATTTTAGGACTTTATTCTCTTAATATTACGACTTTATTTTCGAAATAGAAGAAAAAAAAAAAAATCTGTAGCCTGGCCCTAATACTCCGTCATACCCCAACATCCCAGGCAGAAGGATAGAAAATCTTTCTTTCTTTAAACTGAATGTTTATATATATATATATATATATATATATATATATATATATATATATATATATATATTTATAATTTTTAATATAATTTTTTTATTGTGTAAGATGACCATCATATAAAAAGTGTCTAGGTGTCTAAATTTGTAAATATAAGTTAATGTATGTAATAAACCTTTGATTTGTTCTTTGTTGTTGTGTAATACATACGCGTGACAACCAACATTTCATCGTTTCAAATAAAGGTGGAAAATTTACAAATGGAATTTACAAAGTAGAAATCCCAAATTTCTGAATCGAAATCCATAGCCTTTAAGATTCATACTCATAAATCTGTGATTCCTACTTTACAATGTACCATATCTAATTTTTTTATTTGTTATTCCTGCTCGTAAATATCTGATTCCTACTCATAAATGTATAAATTTATAACTCTTACTTTTAATTAGTTATTTCTACCTTAAATTTTAAATCCTACCTTTTAAATTTATTCCCAGTTGTAAATCTGTGATTCCTAGTTGTATTTTTGCCAAGTTTAAACTTAAATTCATAAGTTTTAAATCTTTATTTTAACAGGCAGGGGGAAAAAAACATATATCCATGAGTTATTAACAGGAAAATTATACAAATATAATTTTAATTGACTTACATTTACAAATTCAAACAAACAGGTTCACATAGCATTTTATTGGCAGTTTTTCTGCCCCATAGCTGCTGTTCTGGATGAGTCTTCCTATGAATTTGTTTTACAATGTGTTTTTCTTTCTTGTTATATTTTCTGTTTCTCAGAAAAAGGAACAGAAGATGCTGCGGGCGAGTTGGGCTAAGTGGGGGAATTTCTATAAAGGACAACCTTTCGATGAAATCAAGTCAGTTCCTACCTGTCTGTTTATTTCTGCATCACAACTGAAACTGTTTAGAAATAATTAACCTGAAATACATCTAAAGCAAGATAATAATGATGAAAGATCAAAATCAAGGACAGCCATCTTTGGATCCTGATTTTAACCTTTTGATTCAGTTTTTTAACCTTTTGATTCAGTCTCTAATAATCAGACTTATTGATTCCATATTTCAGCCTAGAGCTCCGTCAGTCCAGTGAATAATTAACTGAAAACTGTTTATAAGGATTTCTCTTTCCCTTATAACATAATCTGAGGCTGGACTTTAGATAAACATATCCTGATGATCAAAGGTACTAAACAGGACAGGTTTCTTTTTTTTTCCTTTAAAGGTAAATAAAAAAGGTACACTGGAAAACGATCTAGAAATAAGAAAAACAATTCTTAAATTAAATGAAGTGTATTTACCCTTAATTTAAGTAGGTAAATGAGATATCTAGATAAGTCATTTTTTCTTAAAATAAGTGCGTTTGTTCTTGGATTGAGGAGGTAAAAGAGACATTTTGCCAGTGGAAATAGACAATTTACATTTAAAATAATAAAAAAAACAATTGCAATGTCTTATTTCAAGTGCATTTTATCTAATTATCTTATTTTAAGTGTAAAAATACTCATTCCATTGGCAAACTATCTCACTTATCTACTCAAAATACACCTAAGTACACTTAATTTAAGAAAAAATAAATACATTTTACTTCTCTGTTTTACATTTCTAGATGGATTTTCCAATTTGTTGGGTTTAGTTGGAATCCCCTTGGTAGACAAACCGGCTTTAGTCAGATTTTTCTATTTTTTATTATTTAATTCTTCTTTGTTTTGTTCTTCATGTAGCCTACCTTAGTTCCTGTTTTTGTGAGGAATGTTTATTCATCACCTGCTTTTCTTGCAGGTGTTACTTTGGGGAAAAGGTGGCGCTGTACTACCTGTGGTTGGGCTGGTACACCAAACTCCTGGTTCCAGCATCCGTTCTGGGCATAGTCGTCTTCCTTTATGCTCTGGCCTTTTTCAACACCAGCCCTCTCATGTGAGCCATGACGAGTCACAGCTATGCACTAATTATAAACACTTTCATGCTAATTTTCTAAGTATTAAATGTAGAAATCTCACTTAAAAAAAGAAACATCAAACATCTTTTCTGAAGGGTTTTCTTGAAATGAAATAATCTGTTTTTCCAAAGAGATGAGGTGTGTAACTCCAACATCACCATGTGTCCTCCCTGTGAAAAGAGGTGCGATATATGGAACCTCTCAGATACGTGCAGCTACGCCAAGGTGAGCTCATTGAACCTCCTGCTCATCTGTTTCAGCTGAAACGCCACCAAAGAAACCAGCAAGTTAAGGAGCTGGATGGTAAATGAGTAAATGAATGCAGAGATAACGCTGCCGTCTTTAGCCGCCTCATGGAGAATAGAAAGATATCAGTTAGGGAGTCACTGACCTCCTGTCGGGTTTATCATTGGTACGGTCTATAGGTTGCTGAATGTGCCAAGTTTATCTGTTCAGAAATATGTTTATGGTAAAAAGAAAACATGGAATTAATTTTGTTCCATTACTGTTGCAAACACGTAGAATGAAATGGAAAAAAAAAAATAGGATTCCAAAAATGAAACTTAAAAGAATTAAAAAAAATTTAATCAAATGCAAGTTTTAAGAGTAACTTTTCTTGTTTCATTTTTCATTTGTAACTTAATACATTTTTTTATATTTCAAATATGTTTAAAAATTCTTGATAGATATAATCTATTCAAATATTTCACATTCTATTTTTGTTTTCTAAATGTTCTCAAAGATTGAATTTATTTAAATTTTTAATTATATTTTTCAAAATCTTTCTTCCGTATGAAGGTAGATTTGTTTCTTTATTATTCAATCAAAAAAGGTTGCTTCAATCAAAAAACATATTTTCAATTAAAAAAATTCTCACTTCAATGAAAAAAAACTTTTCAATCAAAGAAAAAAAGTATGAAATGCAAAAATATATTTTAGACTCAAAAAAATACATTTGAACACTGCTTTTCTTTGATTGAAAATGTTGTATTTGATAGAAGTGCAGTCTTTTTTGCTTAAAGTACCTTTTTTAATTGAAGTAACATTGTTTTTTGATTGGACCATATAATGGGTAGGACATTTGTCTATTTCTTATTCAATCACAAAACAAGTTGCTTCAAACAACAGAATCAATAAAAAAAGTAACTTCAATGAAAAGATAAACGTTTTGAATCATAGAAAATAGTTTTTGAATGCAAATAAAATATTTGAGACTCAAAAAATTGCATTTAAACACTTTTTTTATTGTTGAAAATGTTTGGTTGACGGGATCTGCCTTTAGGTTTTTTAAATTATCTTTTTTTTTCTAAGATTTTTAATTCTCAAATTAAATCTTTTTAAATATTTTTTAACAGCTTAAATATATTCCAATGTTATTTCAGTTTTTATTTTTTTCAAAATATTTCCTTTTTTCAAAATTATATTTCTATCACTGTTATATTTTCACTTTTTAAAATTTTCAGATTGAGTGGCACCAACTATATTATTCTCGAACTGTGTTTCTCAGCTCACATTCTCTTCACTTCAAGCCCAGAAAAACGTTTGCTAATGTCGGACAGACCAATAGAAATTCGTTTTCTCCTTACTCTGGGAAAGCCCCCCCCCCAGGAGTGAAGAGAATGACTGTGTCCAAACGTCCGCCCTAACCCTTCAATCCCTTAATCACTATCTAGAGAGGAAACTATATAGTAGACATTATTGTAAATTCAGTTAACTGACCATTTGCACAGATAATCTACTACTTTTTGCTCCCCATTGTTCATTAAAATGCATTTCTGCCTCAGAGCTCATGTTCTGTGTTGATTTCTTCCAGGTCAGCCATTTGTTTGATAATGAGGGCACCGTGGCATTCGCCATGTTCATGGCCATCTGGGGTCAGTGGTTGATTTTTAACACGTTTTTCCAGTTCGGCTGCTTTTGCTTCATTTGTGTGATTTTCTTGTTGTTGTTTTTTTTAGCCACTCTGTTCCTAGAGCTGTGGAAGAGACACAGAGCCAAATATGTTTCTAAATGGAAGGTTTTTGACTGGTGTGATGAAGAGGTACAGCATTTCTTCAACTTATTCATTAACATTTGTAATCAGATCTTGAACAAACGTCCTCTAGTTGATGGACATTATTCATTGAGTCATGTTGTACATTTATGAACACCACATCCTTTTAGTGATCCGCACGATATGGAGGGAGAAACTAAACAATTAATCTGCAACCAGAACTCGCTGCTTAAACCCTGATATTATTCACCGATCAGAACTTTGCTGGGGTCTCCCTTTGGTTTACAAAAAGGATATTTCTTGGCGCACCAGAGCTGCTCTTTGAGCTCTCCTATACCTTTATATTGCAGAGGCACTACTGCGTATGTACAACTTTTAACGAGAGTCTATGGGCAAAGATTTTTTAGCCCTAAGGCGGAAATACGTCACAGATCCGATGGAAAAAAGGAATGACGCTTGACTGGTAATTAAAGATGAAATATTTATCTTGCACATCTAAAAAATATATATAGATCTATTCCGTAAAAATTCAAAAAATATATAGATCTAGTTTGAAATATTTTAAATTTTAATGTGGAATTAAATTATTAAAAAGATTATATATATATATATATA